AACAAACAAACAAACAAACAAACAAAATCTACATTTCAAGACTCCATTATTCCTCAACATCTTAGTGGATTCTTGAGTAACTATATGTGTTAAGTCCTCTGGCTGACTCATGATGAACCCATAATCTGAGTAAGAAATAACCTTTTTGGTATTTGCAGGTTGTTTTTTTTTTTTTTTTTTTTTTTAAAGATTTATTTATTTATTTATGCATACAAGAACTGGCATACAGGCCAGAGGTGTGGGGGGTGAGAGGATTCACCAGAGATAGCAAGGGGAACAGAACAGGCAGATTGACTGAAATACGCTGCTGAGGGGAGCAGCAGGCTAGTCAGAGAGTTCTGCTGCAACATGTGGGTCACCTCCCGGGGATAGAACTCTAGTTGTAGTGGCTGTGGATAGATTCATAGTGCTGTGTCTTAACCCCTTGCACCACCAGGGAGGCCCCAGGTTATTTGTTCTTTTTTTTTTTTTTTTTTTTTTTTTTTAAAGATTTATTTTATTTATTTATACAAGCACTGGGTACAGTCAGAAGCACGGGAGGGTGAGAGAATTCACCAGAGCCAGAGCGGGGAGCAGAGCAGGCAGAAGGACTGAAGTACACTGCTGAGGGGAGCAGCGGGCGGCAGGAGAGGTCTGCGCGCCATGTGGGACCCTCCTCCGGTGGCCGGGGAGCAGCCGGGGATCGAACCGGCGCTGCAGAGGCAGCGGGCAGCTTCGCAACCCAGCGCTCAACCGCTGCGCCACCGGGGAGGCCCCAGGTTATTTGTTCTTATAACATAAATTAGCCTATCCTGTTGGCTATATTGACTTCAGGGAATTTAGCTTTCCCAAGGTCTACTTATCTGTAAAGTGGAGATTAAAACAGTGCCTATCTTAAAATGTTGCTCTGAGAATTAAATGAGGTAATATAGTTAAAGGTACTTAGGTAAATGTTACATTAGATTTGGGATCTCTAAAGTGCTAATTTCCAAGGAACATGAAGGTTTCACTAACCATTCACACCAAAATGAATATAACCAGAATGTAATTTTATTGGGGGAATACACTTTACAATAATATAAGCATGCAATTTAATTGACAGCAAAAAAAAAAAAAAAAAATGGGGGGGAGAGGTAATGAACCCCTTGGCAAAGTTCTGGACTCTGGTCATGCACAATGAGCATAGAGTCAGCCTGGAGAGTTCCTGACAGTGTCCATTTATAGAAAAGTGAAGGCCACTCCTCAAAGCAAGAGTCCCTTGTGGTGCTTCCCAAACCTAGAGAAGGCTTCAGGACTATGGGGATGTCCCTAAGTATCTCAAATTTCCTTAAATCCAGTGCCTGTAATTATGTCACTTTTTAAAGGCATATTATCAGAACCACCTGTTAATTTTGATTTAGGTAGGGTATCTCTGCACAGTCAGGTTTTTAATCTCTTTGCCTTTCATATGTCTGTTTATCAGTGTCTGTATAAATAAGTTGCCTTTTAAATGCAAACTTAAGCCACTCTTATCTCAATTTCTTCCACCTTTGATCAGTCAGGGTCATTACAATAAGTAAAAGTATTTAACATGGTGTTAAGCACAAAATAAGTATCTGCTAGCTGTCATTAATTTTTATGTTTCTATTATCACCTACTAATAATTGGTGTGTTTGCCTGGGACAAATGAGCATAATGGAGAGTATTACTTCAAATTACAAAAGTTATATTGTCAGTAATGAAAACCTGAACATATACAAATTAACATGTTTTAATATTACTATAGGCTTAGCCTAACTCATCTTAAAAACCGCTGTATTTTTAAAATATCGTTAATTTTGGGATAACATGAAAAGTTATTTCATATATACTAAAACCTTTTTTTTTCTTTACATTTTAACTGGTCTCTTTGAGTTCTCATAAAACTCTTATAGGAAAGAGATGTTATCCTTAATTTCAAGAGCCTGTTTAGCATAGAGATAGATGGGGTCCAAATTAGCATATTTCATGATCTCACATTACTGTTAATAGTTAAATTTTCAGCCTATCATGTATAGATTGCTATTGACAACTGACTAGACCTGACAAAAATGTTAACACTAACATCCATATAAAACTTCAGAATGTTCAGTGCCTTTACATATAATCTCATTTGACTTTGAATGCTGAGTTAAATTCTACTTGCATTTTAACTGAAGAACATACCTATCAGAGTTAACTAAAGTCAGAAATCTGGGCTGGAACCTAGATCTCCTAGCATAAACATTCCATGCTTATGTTACTACAGAAACTTGTCATAATAAACCATTACTGGAATAACAAGTGTGTTCCATTGATGTATGGATCATAAGCTTGTAAGTCTACATAGCATAAATGTTTTGTGAAGAAGAACAATTATTATTTTACATTTTTTTCAGAAATGGTAACATTTGGGTCAATGATATCTCTGGGAACATTTTTTGCTAGCTAGCTTTGTCAGACTAATATACTTGACAAGGTCAAGATAAATTTAGACAATATAATTCTTTAATCCAACAGTAAATTGACTTACAAAGTAACACTGATACAGGGCAGGGAGAGGGGCAGCACAAACCAGGCAAACCTGCTTATTCTAAATGGGTTCTACCGTCCATAGCATCAACACAAAACATACGAGACTTTAATGGGAAGGAACTTTAATACAATTAAGAAACAATACAGGAAAGGCAAAGAATCTAGTTTCTAAATCAAGCACCCAAAGTTACCCGTCTCCTAGTGGGTAAAACTCCATCCAAATGGGATTGGCCCAGAGGAAGGCCCCAAAGCCTGCCACAAGTCCAAAGCATCTTCCAGTGGGGACCCACAGAAAAGGGTCAGAAACAACCAGACAAGCCCGGAAGGAAAAGAGCAAAATCAACATCAAGATAAAAGCTGCCACTGTCACCTCCCCATGGGTCTCACCCACATCTGTGTCACCCAGTCCACGACCAAAAGACAAGCGCAGTTTCTTCACGTGTCTCTAGGCTCCATGCGCCTCCTCCAGGTCTCCTTCTGGCTCCATCCTGCTTCCTTCCTCAGTCTCTTCTGCAGCTTCTCCTCTTCCTGCTCAGCTCCACCCTCCATTTGGGTGGGGCAGGGAACCTGGAACCTCCCGCTTTCCTGGGGCACCCTGTTACACCACATAAAGAGCTAACATCTAAGTCAACAGTTTTACATTCCTATTTTGAAGAAAAATTTTAAATAGTTTTATCAAAGAAATTTTTGACTAAATTTAGTAGCACTCACAAAACGACTACACCTTATAAATCATAGAAATGGCAAGTGTACAGAAGAAAATGCTCAATGAAAACAAGTGTAATTAACTAGGGCCTCCTTGAGGTGCCACCGCTAGAGTTCTAGATAAAAATAAAACGTTTTTTAAGAAAACCATTTCAAATACACCAGTTTGCTGGCGTGTGTATCAGTAACAATGTATCTGATTAAATTGCAACCACGCTGATTTAAATGTTCTCGTTTACTGCGAAATTGCAACACTTCACTATTTATAAAATAGACTCTTCTTCCAAATGCGTAAGACGAAAGTTTTTTAAAAATAACACTTTTGGGGACGAATTTGACGCGCAGTGCTATTACTAATTACCCTGGAGAGAAGGAAAAATCAATTGCTTATACCTTTACTTTTTTCCCTCTCCAAAAGCAAAACGCCATGAACAATGACCAAGTTGGAAGCTCTTAACGTGGCTCACTGGGTGCTCTTTGAAAGTTCGCTAGGTTGGGTCTTATTTCTCGTTTCCGGCTTAGCCATTAGTTGTGACGGAGACGGCCAGTCACTTCCCCGAATGTTTCCTTCCCCATAAAATAGGAGGAGACCACAGAGCGCTTTGATCTGAGTAACATTTCCTAGGTATCAAAAGCTCTTCAGGGGCGCGCGCGCACACGCACACGCGCACACAGCCTCTCTCATGTGGGTTTCCCCAATCCCACCCCCGAACCCCGAGTCCGAGCCTCGTTCTTCTTTCTTTATCCCAGCCCGGGCCTTTAGGGAGCAGGAAAGTTATTTTAACGAAATCCTGATCTCCTTTGTCTCCGACCATGGCTGGGGCAGGTTTCGAACTCCCGGTCCGCTGGGCGCCCGCAGAAGCCACGCAGCCCGGCCCGTCCGCCCACGCAGCCCATCCGAGTCGGGGGCGAGCGCGCGCTCCGGGCTCTCGGAACCGCGCGGCGCACCTGGCCCGGCCCGGGGCGCGCGTCGGGGAGGCGGGCGGCGGAAGCTGTTGGCGGCGCGAGCTGCCGGCGGCGCGGCTGGGCGTGCCCGGCGGCGCGGGTGGGGGCAGGGCAACGGCCACTTCCGGACGTCGGTCTGGGAGGGCGGGGGAGCGGGGGGCGAGGCTTCCGGCCGCGCAAAGGGTGTCGGGAGAGGCTTCCAGCAAACCTTCGTCCCCGGCCTCTGGAGGGACCACCGTTACCTCGGCGTCGGCTTCCACCTTCCGCGTTCGGGCCAAACGGCCACGGCGGCCGCCGCAGCCGCTGCCCTTGTGCCTGGCTCTGCCCTGACTCGTTCCCAGGCGGCCGCCCGGGCTCCGGCAGCTGCAGCGGTCGCGTCCGACATGTTGTGAGGCGGCGGCGCGGGTGTCTGCAGGATGGTTTGGCGGAGGCGGCGGCAAAGTCTGCTGGCGGCGGCGCCTGGGGGGCCCCGGCCCTGTAGAGCCGCGCCCGCTGGGCGCCCGCGGTGCCGCCGCGAGGCCGGCGTCCCCGCACCCTCCTGCGCCCCGGCGCCGCTGGGACCCGGCCAGGCGGCCGCGCCCGCCCCTCTGAGGAGACTCGAAGGCGGCTCCCCGGTGGTCGGATTCCCACAGCCCCTTCCCGTCTGTCCCCCGCGCCCGAGCGGGGCGAGCCCGGAGTCCCCAGCCCCTGGGCTCCCTCGGCCTCCCCCAAACCACACACGCGGGCGCCCCCGCCCTCGCGAGGCGGCGCCTCCCCCTCACACCCCGCCGCGGGACCGTCCCCGAAGGCGGCCCTGAGGGAAGCCCGGGTGGGGGGTGCAGCGAGCTGGGGCGCTCCTAGCAGCGGGGGCGCGCGGGGGAGCGGCGATGGCGTCCTCGTCGGGCAACGACGACGACCTCACGATCCCCAGAGCGGCCATCAATAAGATGATCAAAGAGACGCTCCCGAACGTGCGGGTGGCCAACGACGCGCGCGAGCTGGTGGTGAACTGCTGCACGGAATTCATCCACCTGATATCGTCCGAAGCCAATGAGATTTGCAACAAATCGGAGAAGAAGACCATCTCGCCGGAGCACGTCATCCAAGGTAAGCCGGCGGCGGGCGCGGGCTTCGGCCCGGGGCCGCGCGAGCCGCTCGCGTCCGAGCCTGCGCGGCCCCTGCCGGGTCCTGGGACGCGAGACGCCGCGAGGGCGTGGGAGCCGCCGCCGCCCGGATACGCCCACGTGCGGAGTCTCGTGGGGCGCTTCATTCAGCCCGCGCCGCTGAGGACCGGGAGCGCCCGGGTCAGGTAACAGCTTCCGAAGAGCGAGTCGTAGTGGAGGGCTCAGCTTACACCCGGCGAGCCGAGCCGGCGGGGATTTCTCCGGTCTGAAGAGGGACCTAGGCGTGGCCGCGGGGGGATCGCCTGCCGGCGGTGTAGCCGAGGTCGTGGCAACGGAGAGGAGCCCGGCCGTTCTCCCGTGGAAAGTTGAGGTGTAGACAGGTGCTCAAAGCGGGAGTGGAGGCAGCCCGCCTTCCCCGCCCCGTCTTGTCACCAAGGCAGAGGAAAAGCTGAGCTTTCTAACACAGGAGTGAAGAAACTCGTACCCGGAATGTGTTCAGCGTTGTGAAACTTACTGATGAAATGTACATCTGTAAGTGTCACTGGAATAAAGTAGACGTCCTGAAAAGTAGTTTGGGGACCCTCGCGTTCATCAAGTTCCCTAAGCCTCCAGTTCTTGTCTGTGGGAGCAGGGTGCAAGTTCTTTAATCGATCCTTCCCTCCCTCCCCCTTCCTTTCTCCTCCTTTCTCCCCGTCCCATTTCTTCCCTCCTTGCTTTATTTTTCTTTTATGTGGCCTGCTTTGTTCAATGGAGAGAAAATTTTAAAGCTTGGACCGAAAGATTGGAAGTTTGTTTTATTGGTTTCCCTTCCCCCCCACCCCACCCCCGGAATATTTCCTGGACCTTCCCTGCTGCGGTTCCCATTTAGGTGTGTATACACTCTAACTTTTACTGAACAGGGCCTCTGAGAGTTTCAGCAGTTTCTTGTGTTAGAAAGGATTTAGTCCAGTAACAGGCATTTATGGAACCATATTCTCATGGTTTGTCTCCAGGGTGGAGAAACATTAATAATATTTTGGAAAGCACTTTCTGTGACTTTCACATATATTCTTAAGAAAAGTTGTATTCCGTTTGAGGTGAGAACTTGCCTTTATAATCAAAATTCTAACCATTTCTTGATTGCTTTTGAAGTTAATAAAATGGTTAATTTTAATCACTTTGGTAGGCAGGTGGTGGTCTGCCATTTTATTTTAATGATTTAGCCTTTTAAAAGGTGCCTTTCCTGTTATTTTGAGGTGGAGAGGACATCTGCTTAGATTCACCATCTCCAATATGTTGCTGTCAATATTGACAAAAGGATCAAATGATTCATTTTTGATCTTTAATGGTGTAAGGTAAAGGTAGATTTAAAATCTGCTCTGCTAATTCCATTTCAACACACAAGGAGAAAAAAGTCCCTAGTAAAACACATATTTGATTATAAAACTGGTATTTTTTTCCCTTCTCATTTGGTGTGTTGAACACTCTGGCAAGTAAAATGAAAGCCAAGTTGTCTATTTTTTCTCTGGTGTTTTTATTTTTTGCTTTCTGTGTGTGATTGTTGTCATAAGTCTTTCACAAGATTATCCAACACAGATAGCTGTAATTTCCTTTTACAACTCCTATAAAAGAAAAAGAATCTTTTATCAACATTGCCTTTCTAATGAAAATTGCAAAAGATTTCAAAAGGATCTGCCTAAACATTTGTTGACACCACAGAAGTGGGGATGGTTCCAAAAATCTAATAATACATTACAATCTGTCTTCTTGGGTAGAGTTTATTCTTTTCTAGGATATATTTAGATTTCTGATTGACATGATGGAATAAAAGTGCAGCTGTAGCAAATGGTATACTAAATAGTTCAACTTTGGAATATGCTGAATTCAGATCAGCATATGAGTCAGAAAGTTCCAATGAAAGAACATTTTCCTTTGTGTACAGAGGATGATTTATTAATTTAAAAAAATCACATTTTGACCTGTTACAAATTTATAAATTTACCTTTTTTCCCTTTTATTATTGCTGTGAAGTGTATAAGGACCTATATTTTTGCCCCAAATTCTCCCCAGTTGGGAGAATAGATTGTATGCATAAATTACAGACTAAAGCTGGTAAACCATGTGGATAAGATATTTTTTATACTTTTCTGTTAGCACTGATTAAATAGGAACAAAAGATATATCCAGGTAAATAATAATGTACTTTTTAAAGTGATAGAATTCTTTTACTTTGAACTTGGGATTTTTTTAAATAATAAATTTAATGAACTACACTTTGCTTCAGGACATTTCTCTAGTTCAGTTTGCCACTTTGCTTTACCTTGTCAGAGCAAATTAAGTATTTGAAGCAGTTCTGTAAAATGCAAGTTGAAATTGAAATGATTTTATTGGCCAGTAAATATGTGAAAAACTTAGTTAAATTAAAAAGTGATTTCTAAATGTTTTGCTTATTTTAAGTTTATTAAAGTAGACTTGGTATTGAAGATCACAGATACAGAAATAGAGGGAGTTATAAGCTTCTGTGAACACATATTCTCAAATGAGTTCTAACATGTTCTGCTGAATTATGGAAAGGATTGACTTTGAGTCAAGAGCTTCAAGTTCTACACTGGAAAGTCTTTGGCCTAAGGCACATCAGTACGGTTACCCCATTTAAGTATAAATGATGCCAGTGGTTTCAGGTATAATTTGCAGTTACTGAGAATCAGTCAGAGTTGAGAGCCTTACATGAAATATGCTACAATAAATTATAATTTTCAATATTTGTAGTAATGTAGATTAAAATACAAAACTGAAAGTCTGTTCTGTTTAACCTTATATCATACTGCCATATAAATCCAAGTGTAAATAAAAATATTTTAAGTGATAGTATTTTCTTTGTGCACTTTTAATCTCTTGCTGTCTTTTTTTCCCACATTTATGAGAATAGTTACTGAAAGTAGTGAAAGTTTGAAAAGGTCTCTGAAGCCTCCCTTCTTTAACAAATTGAGTTGCTCCGGTCTGTCTGCATTGAAGAACTTTTAAAATTTTTTGGTTACTCTCTCTCTCTGGTACTTTTATAAAATGCAATAAAAATGGACTACTAGAAAAACGGTGGCGGGGGGAGGGGACAAAGTTCAATTTTTTGTTATTAGATTCAGTAGACCTAAAATTACTCTGTCAAATTGCTATGAAGGTTCTTTTCCCCTCCTCCAGTTTTGTTAAGATAAATGGCATATAACATTGTTTAAGTTTGAGGTAGACAGCATGATTATTTGATGTATGTATATATTGCAAAATGATAACCACCATAAGTTTAGTTAACACAGCCATCATCTCATATTGTTACATTTTTGCTATGGAGTTTCTTAAATGTTTACTGAAATTTACATCTTTATTACGGACTTTACAAGTTGTTCTTGCACAAGTCCATGAACCATACTTTGAGCAGCTCTACTCTAAAACCTAAACCACAGTCTGTTTTGCAAAGTGGATGTGAAATAGTTTTGAAATCAAAGTATCTGAGTGATTGTTGAGAAGTTGTAATAATAAAAATGAGAATGGTATATTTTCTAAATAATCATCTATACAGGGCCTCCCCTGGTGGCGCAGCGGTTGAGCGCTGGGCTGCGAAGCTGCCTGCAGGCTCTGCAGCGCCTGTTCGATCCCCGGCCACTGGCCAGGATCCCACAGGGCGCGCAGACCTCTCCTGCCACCCGCTGCTCCGCTCAGCAGTGTATTTCGTCTGTCCGTCTGTCTGTTCTGTTCCCCGGCCTGGCTATGGTGAATTCTCTCACCCTCCCGCGCTTCTGACTATACCCAGTGCTGGTATAAATAAATAAATAAATCTTAAAAAACAAAAACTGCTAAACTCTTAAAAAAAAAAAAATCATCTATACTGATATTTTTCCCCAAAAGAACACATGTAATTTCCCTTGCAAAATCTAGTACATAATTTTGTGCTTTTATCAAAACTGTTATTTTCCTTAAAATTTATGTATCTGTTGTTTTTGTTTTCCTTCTGCCCACTTAATAATACTGCTATATAGTTGGCCCTGTGCTAGGTCCTGCTAAGAATACAGAGTAACTGATATTTGATTTTCTGCTCTGCTCTTAGTCTCTCTTTGTCCCATATTCCCAGGAGCCATGATGCCATGGGAAGACGGTTCTTACGGGTCTTCAGGAACCTTTGCCAGGCTAATGAGCCGAGAAGGCGCTAGATCCTCTTAATATATTTTAACATATTTAATGTATATTTTAAGTAAACTACAGCACCACCCTTTTCCCTACATAGAAAATTGAGAAATTAGAGAATGGTCTTTTCTCTAGTTTTTGATGAAAAGCATGCATTTGAAAAGTAATTTACGGGTCTCCCCTGGTGGTACAGCGGTTGAGCTCTGGGCTGTGATGCTGCCAGCAGCCTCTGTAGTGCGGGTTTGATCCCGGGCCACCGGTGAGGGTCCCACATGGCGTGATAGACCTCTCCTGCCATGCCCGCTGCGCCCCTCAGCAGTGTATTTCGTCAGTCTGCCTGTTCTGTTCCCCACTCTGGCTCTGGTGAATTCTCTCACCCTCCCGTGCTTCTGATTATACCAGTGTTTGTATAAATAAATAAATCTCAAAAAAAAAAGTAATTTACACAAATGAATGTTGTAACAAAATACTAGAGGAATAGATCACTTGTGTAAAATAAGATAAGCCTGTATTAAAATTTTTGTGGCTGGATAGGGTTTTTACCTTTTTTCTTTAAAAATGACTTGTTAACATCTGTCTTTCAAATTGAAAAATGTGTACTAAGCATTTTTTTCCCTGCTATAACTTGAACTTCTCTGTGTATAGTTTTAAGATAGATTGCAAAGAGGGTAGCAGGCAGACCTCTAAGGAACAAGTGACACATGGGTTTCTTTACCCAGAATTTTCTTTTTCTTTTTCTGTTTCTTCTGTTTCTTTTTCTATTTATTTTTCTTTTCTTTTCTTTTTTTTTTTGGCTTTTACTCTGAGATGTTTAGAAACAGGGCCATCAATAGTCCATAAAGTTTCTTTGTATACATTACAAAAAGCTAATCCTTTTTAAAAAAATCTCTACTACCATTTGCCAGGGACAAGTGTCATAATTAGCATACAAATATGTTTTATGGTATGGTACCATTGTGCACTGAACACTGTAAATGGTTGCCCTTTTTAGTTAGGAGTCATTTTCCTTATCTTTGAAGATCCCTTTGTGTAAAAATGGGAATGGCTACTACTACATGGAAGAAAATTATGTAAAATATCTCTGTTTGCAAGATACTATGTTGATATCCCTTATCCAAAATGTGTCTAAAATTTGGATTAAAATCAGTGCTTTTTTTTTTTTTAAAGATTTATTTATGCACACAAGAGTAGGAGTACAGGCCACAGATGTGGGGGTGGGGGGGTGAGGGGACTCACCAAAGACAGAGCGGGAAACAGAACAGGCAGACTAACTACAATACAGTGCTGAGGGGAGCAGCGAGTGAGACAGGAGAGGTCTGCTTCTCCATGTGGGTTGCTCCCTGGCTGGCCGGGGACTGAACTCGTGCTGTAGAGGCTGCGGATTTGCTTCATAGTGAGGTGCTTAACCCCTTGCGCCTCCAGGGAGGCCCCAGTTTAACATTTTATATTACAAATATATTTGTTCAACTTGAATTGTGTATGTTTATTTAGGTCCTGTATATTAGGGTGCATTCTTACATGAAGAGAAAAAAATTAAGATAAACAATACTCTTAAATTGACTGAGTGACCCTTCATGCTAGATACTGTGCCTTAAATTGGTTGTTTTTTTTTTTTTTAAAGATTTATTTATTTGTACAAGAACTGGGGTACAGGCCAGATGTGCACGAGGGTGAGAGGATTCACCAGAGATAGAGCAGGGAACAGAACAGGCAGACTGACTGAAGACACTGCTGAGGGGAGCAGTGGGCGAGACAGGAGAGAGGTCTGCCACGCCATGTGGGTAGCTCCGTGGCCAGCGGGGATGGAACCGGCACTGCAGAGGCTGCGGACAGCTTCACAGTGCTGCGCTCAACTGTCTGCGCCACCAGGGAGGCCCAGTGTGCCTTAGATTGTTAACAAAAATTGTTAAGAACAGTCCTTAAACTAATAAAAATGTAATCCATGAATACTTAGTTTTGTTCCTTCTATGGGATAACCTCTATTCTAATCTCATTAATTCATTTCTTTTTCACAGAAACTGGTTCTGATGTTTTAGAGGCACAGAGATGAAGAAACTTACCTAGTGTCACACAGCTAATAAGAGGCAGTGTTGGGGGTCAACCCTGTCAGCCTCGGGACCTGTATGCTTAACCACTACACTACTTAGTCGTAGGAAGAAATGAAATAGGTGCTATTCTCACTTTAGAGATGGAAAGCTGAAGCTTAGAGATATTAAGCAGTGTATCCAAGGTTATACAAATACAGTGACAACCACATTTGAATTTTTACATGTATCTGATTTCAAAGGGGGAGATTATTTCTGTCTAGGAGGATCAAGCAGACTTCATTTGAAGATGGAGTTTGATCTGCACCTTGAATGAATAACCTTCAACATGAATGTGGGAAACTGGGGCCTGTGTGGAAACACTGAGCAGTCAAATTTAGCAGAACCATAAGGGTATTTAATGGCAGAAGTAAACCTGGAATGGCAATGTGGGGTTAGATCCTGGAGAAGCTTGGTGTAGGACTGAGGAAATCAGATTTTCTTTAGAAAGTGGTGGGAAACCATAAATCATTCACTTGGATTTATTTGGTATGGTCTCCAGCCAGTATTACTGAAAATATACTACTGTGCTCGTGCCTTTAACAACAACAAAAAAGTTTGTCTTAAATTCGACTTACAGCATTGGCACTTTAAAAGTGGTCTGTCAATTCAAATGAAAACAAATGCAAGCTGCCCAATTTTCACTTAATTTTCCATTATGCCCCAAGCTCCTTGATGTTTAGAATTATGTGGTGGTTTTAATTTGATATACAAAACTCAGAATAATGCCTTAGTGAGATTTTTGGATGTACCATGGAGAGGTAGGAACAATAAGTTAACTTAGTTAAAATTTAATAGTACTCTGTTTTTTGGAATCAGATTATTTCTCAAGAAGATTGATCAAAGCAGCTAACATTCAAAGTAAAGTTCTCAATCTTTCAAACTGTCTCTAAAAAAACCACAGCCTACATGGAAATGTAGATTTGCAAAGGTATATTTGATGTCCTCCCTGAGGATCAAATCCCTAAAGTTAGAATTCAAGGCATCTTTACTGAGGGCAGCTTGATTCATCATAATTGTTCAAAGACTTCAAGAACTGATGAACTAAGTTCATTTGTTGTGGTGTGGTGGTGTGTTTTTTTTTTTTTTTTTTTTTTTTTTTTTTTTAACCGCCTGTATTTCATCATTGGGTCAGAAAATATGCCTTGGGGTAGTAGCTATTATATAGAAAACTATAAGAGATGACTTTAAATGCTGTGAACTAAAAATATTTTATGCCGTGTCTTTCTGGATTACAGAAGATATTTAGAGAGTGCATGCATTATCTTGTTGTAAAATGTTCTTTCTCAATGTGGAAAAATAAAGGGTTAGAATTTTTCGCTAATGCTTTTTTCTATCTTTAATAGTGTTCCTTTAACCCATTTTTTCTACCAAATCACATGAAATGTTTTTATGGTGCTTCCTGTTAAGTTTTATTTTTAAGAGAAACTTGTTGGCTGAATGTAAATGCTGAATTACATAAGTTATTTCCATCAGTGCTTTTTATCTGTGCTAAAATAGTTTCCTGTTAGTATATTGGATAAAAGAATTTATTTTTTCTTTTATCCCGTCCAATTAAAATTTAGGATATGTATTACCCCCCACTTTTTCTAAACCAAATGGCAGAAAATATGTTAACAAATATATTCCAAGTATTTTGCTTTTTTATATTTGAGAAAGTGATTGATGTTTAATTTATTGCGAGGGTTATGGGAAAAAATGTTTTCTTACTAAAACCACATGTTGTTACATTGGATTTTTTTTCTTACAGGAAAGGCTTTAGTTTTTAAAAAGTTAGAAAGAAAGGGAAAAGTGAAGTCCTGGGCCTTCAGAGCTTACTTAAGTTTTAACTAATATGTTACGTAATATTAAGCAAGTCGATAAATATTTTTTCTTAACCATCCAGATAATTTCTGTCACCTATAAAATAGATTAAATTGTTACAAAATAACAACCTCAGCCTCAAAATAAAGAAAGTAGGTGAGGGAAAAGCTATGTTTTATGACTCCTTCATGTTTTCATTTCCTTCCCCTAGCACTAGAAAGTTTGGGCTTTGGCTCTTATATCAGTGAAGTAAAAGAAGTCTTACAAGAATGCAAGACGGTAGCATTAAAAAGAAGAAAGGCCAGTTCTCGTTTGGAAAATCTTGGCATTCCAGAGGAAGAGTTGCTGAGACAGCAACAGGAATTATTTGCAAAGGTAATTAATGCATTTTAAATTATTTTCATTTGAGTCCTGCCCTTTTTGCTAACAAATCATACTGGTTTCTGAAATCATTTCCTCAATCAACTTTTGTACCCAGAGAAATTTTTTTTCCTGTGTCTGAGTCAGTCTGATGTGTTTTTTTGTTTTTTGTTTTTTGTTTTTAAGATTTATTTATGCATACAAGAACTGGGGTACAGGCCAGAGATGGGGGGGGGTGAGGATTCACCAGAGACAAAGTGCAGAACAGAACAGGCGGACTGACTGAACTACACTGCTGAGGGGAGCATTGGGCGAGTCAGGAAAGGTCTGCTGCGCCATGTGGGTAGCTACCTGGCTGGAGATCGAACTCATGCTGCAGTGGTGTCTTAACCCCTGTGCCACCAGGGAGGCCTCTCTGTCTGATGTTTAGATCTGGCCAGTTTGCCTCTGTTTGGCCACTTTATATATAAAAGCAAATGTTTGCAGCAACCTATTTAAGGAGAACAACTCTAAGTAACTGCTGAGATTTTACTTTGATTTTTTTCAAGACGGAATGACTATTTAAAAGCATGAAAAATATACCTAAACATTCTTAAGAATTAAAACAATGGGCCGGTTAGAAAGTAATACATCAACTATGTTATACTATATTAAATTAGGTCTTTAATACACCTGGCTTCTTTAATACACCTGTCTTTAATAATCTGGCGGCTTCTTTGAAATTGTAAGGCACTTTTTTAGTTGAATAGAAGAGTTGAGATTTTCTACCAATTACTGTAATTACCATTAAACTGGGTAGTATAATTTTAGATAGTCTTTTCCAGATAAGCCCTATAGCTGTTGTATTTATAGTCATAATGACCAGTTTGAAAAAGCATCTGAAATTTAATATTGGACACCATCAGCTACTATTTATTTTTTTTTTTAAAGATTTATTTATTTATACAAGCACTGGGTACAGTCAGAAGCACGGGAGGGTGAGAGCATTCACCAGAGCCAGAGTGGGGAGCAGAACAGGCAGACTGACGAAATACACTGCTGAGGGGAGCAGCGGGTGGCAGGAGAGGTCTGTGCGCCATGTGGGACCCTCGCCGGCGGCCGGGGATCGAACCGGCACTGCAGAGGCTGTGGGCAGCTTCTCAGCCCAGCGCTCAATCGCTGCGCCACCGGGGAGGCCCCATACAAACATTATTATAATTTATATGAATATGAGATAATAAAGAAGGAGTAGTGGAGGCCTCCCTGGTGGCCAGGGGGTTAAGTCTTACTACTATCACTTCTGTGGCCTGAATTCAATCCTTCATTCCACCTGTTCTGCTCCCTATTCTGTCTCTTGTGTATCCTTTCACCCCCTCCCCTCTGGCCTACACCCCACTTCTTGTTTTTGTTTTTGTTTTGTTTAAGATTTATTTGTTTGTTTATACAAGCACTGGATACAGTCCGAAGCACGGGAGGGTGAGAGAATTCGCCAGAGCGGGGAACAGAACAGGCAGACTGACGAAATATACTGCTGAGGGGAGCAGCGGGCATGGCAGGAGAGGTCTGTTGTGCCATGTGGGACCCTTGCCGGGTTGGCCTGGGATCAAACCGGCATTGCAGAGGCTGCGGGCAGCTTCGCAGCCCAGGGCTCAACTGCTGCACCACCAGGGGAGGCCCTGCACCCCAGTTCTTTTACATAAAAATTTAAAAAGAGAAATGGGGTAATGATTTAAAAAAACAATAGTAGCTATTATCTATAGATTCTTTATTATTGCAGATCACCTAACAGGTGCCAAATTAAATATTTGATGAAAGAGGGAAAAAAGCTCTGCTAGATACGTTGCATTCTATCCAGGGTTTTTAAGACATAATAAATTTTATTATACTCATTTACATTACTAAGAAAGATGGAGAAACTTGCATGAGATCATTTATTCATTCTGTAGATATTTACTGAGATCCTTCCTATCGGACTTAACTGCTGGGTGCTGTACTTAAGACAGTATATAAAAGAAACATGGCTTCTATCATATTGGAGCTTAGTTTTACTGAAAAGGATTAGCTTTAACAAATAAAACAGGTAGATTCTCTTAGGAAATGCTGGTATCTCAATTCAAATTTACATCTTCAGACTTCAAAACCTGACTCTTTCTACAATACCGTGCTAATATATTCTAGTCACCATTTTGTCTGTTAAATTTATTTTGGAAATTTTAAAGTGAAACATGCTTTATCCTTTCCAGGGCAAAAAAAAAAAAAATAATAATTGAAAGAAATAATTGGCTGACTGTTATATCTGTGTTTACCTGTTTTTGTTATATGGTTTTTATTTCCTCTTACTTTTTTTCCTTCTTTCTTACCTTGACCTATGTGTGAAGGTCCCTTAGTATTTCTTAGCTCGTCATCAGAAGACAAACAGGGAGGTAAATTATAGCAGCTGCCTAGCATGTCCTATTTAGTTACTTATGTCCTAAATATGAAAGAAACTGATAATAAATATAACATCTTTTTAAATCTATTTCATTTCATTCTTTAGACTTCATTTCAAATACAAAAACAACAAGAACCTCACTTGAAGCTGCTCATAGCAAATATTTAGAAAGGGGAAACTATTAACACATTGAAATTAAAGGTAACTATAAATTGTAACTGAGTTGTTTTTAGTACATGGTAGTGAGAATCTTGAAACATAATGGAGATCCACAAAGAAGTAAATTAGAGGGCCTCCTTGGTGGCGCAAGGGAGAGCACTATGAAACTATCTGCAGCCACTCCAGTACTAGTTCCATCCGTGGCCAAGGAACTAACCCACATGTCGCAGCAGACCTCTCCTGTCTCACCTGCTGCTCCCTTAGCAGTGTATTTCAGTAAATCCACCTGTTCTGTTCCCCACTCTGTCTCTATTGGGTCCTTTCCCTCCCCCCCACTATGCCTGTGGCCTGTAACCCAATTCTTGTATGCATAAAAATAAATAAATCTTTTTTGAAAAGATAAATTTGAAAATTTATGCCTACTTCTTTGATACCCCACATTTTAGAAGGAAATTAGAATAAATACCTCTGCAATTTCTAATTTATGGATGTGAATACAAGTAAAATATATCAGTCGACTGTGATTTTTTTTTTTTTTTTTTTTTTTTTTTTTTTTTTTTAAGATTTATTTAGACATACAAGAACTGAGTTGCAGGCCAGAAGTGCAGGGCAGGGTAAGAGGATTCACCAGAAAGAGTGGGGAGCAGAACAGGCAGATCTACTGAAATACACTGCTATGGGGAGCAGCGGGCAAGACAGGAGAGGTCTGCTACTGCGCCATGTGGGTTAGCTCCCTGGCCAGTCAGGGATCGAACTCTCCTGCAGTGCTGCAGTGACTGCAGATAGCTTCATAGAGCTGTGATTTAACCCCTTGAGCCGCTAGGGAGACCCAACTGTGATTTTTTTTTTTAAGGCCTAAAATTACTTTTATGTTCAGAGGGAAGTATGGGAACTGATATGGGGCTATAGTATCTTTTAGTCAGGCAAATATTAAATGTAATTAGTACATATCTTTGCAGATCATTGAGTAAACTATAAGATCAAGCACCTTTACAATAAAATTGGTATGAAATTGAAATTACTTGACTTTTTTTAATGCCACAGAAGTAAACCTAAGTAGAGTTGATTAGGCCATAGAGTTACTATTCTTAGGTTGATTGAGTTCACATGTTTGCTTTGTGTTGCTATTTTCTTTGAACTCTTAGAGTATTTCCTGTGAAACATTCTTAGTCTATTTTGAATTCTGGGTATTTCTGCTGTACCCAGAGTTAGAATAACTGTTTTCCAAAGTCCTTTACAAAAATGGGTGAAAGAGTTGCTAGAGAAAACAACTGGCTTCTAATTTCCTTTTTAAAAAAGTTTTTGTTTTGCAGGGAAGTATTCTATAGACACACTAACAACTATAATCTGAGGTTTGCTTTCATGAGGAAGATATAAAGAGATCTTAAGTACAAAGTCATCACATTAGCTTTTGGTGGTGCAGGAATGTGCCAGTTATTACGCAGTTGTCTCAACCTGAGATTCACCCTTCCATGCTGGCTTTGTGACTGGGTCTGGTATTCTACAAACCACATTTCTGCTTTTCTAGCTCACTTCCCTCTTTCTTAGACTCTGATGCCACAGAAGCATCTAGAGAGAGATTCGGGACAAGAGGAAGAGGAAGGCACTTGTTCCTTTCTTTCACTTCTGTTAAATAGAGTTCCTTTGACTAAACTAGCTGTGCTTCTTTACCCTGGCTACATTCATTTTTTCGTGTAGCAGGAATGAATAGTTGGTAGTTTCTCTAATACTCATAGAACCAACCTGAACATGTATCTCCCTCAGGGACATGGATCTTGAATGTTGTTGCTCTCCTCCAGTCTCAGAGATGCTACTACCATCAAATCTATACCCCTTTACCAGTGACCTGAGCTTCAGTTCCATGAGTTACTCCTCTAAGTTTCAACAATTCTAGCCTCATCCCTTGTTTCCCTAGTTTAGGGTGGTAGCTGCTTTCTATGGTTGCCACCTTCATGATACCATAATGTTCTCTCTTTCTCTCTATTTCCTTTTTGGCTACCAACCTTATACCTGGCTAACAATTCTTTATATTACCTTCTTTCTGTTCCCACATCTGTCTTTTTATTAGACCCTGACTGGTTTGAGAGGAATCAGAGAAAAACTTAGTAAAGAAAACAGTATTTCAGTTTGACTTGAAGAAAGAGTAGAATTTCAGTAGGTGAAAAATTGGGAAATTTCAAATAAATATCAGCATGAGAAAAGGTAATAAAAATTCTAAGGAGGGTGTGTTTGGAAAACATTTCATGTCCTAGGGTTTTTTTTTGTAAGCACAAAATACATGTTACAAAAAAAGAAGATAGGTTGGGGCAGGCAGTTAGTTAGAGAACTTTAAACTCTAGACTGAGAAATTTGAACTTAATTGGTAGCAAATTCAATGGTTCTTTTAAGTCTGCTAATAACCTGACTAGAGTTTTCCTCTAGAAATGTTTGGATAATAAAGTCATGACATAAAGAAAAGTTAGAGGGCCTCCCCGGTGGCGCAGCGGTTGAGCGCTGGGTTGCGAAGCTGCCCGCGGCCTCTGCGGCGCCGGTTCGATCCCCGGCTGCTCCCCGGCCACCGGAGGAGGGTCCCACATGGCGCGCAGACCTCTCCTGCCGCCCGCTACTCCCCTCAGCAGTGTACTTCGGTCCTTCTGCCTGCTCTGCTCTCCGCTCTGGCTCTGGTGAATTCTCTCACCCTCCCGCGCTTCTGACTGTACCCAGTGCATGTATAAACAAAAACAAACAAATAAAGAAAGAAAACATGCCTCTATATAAAAAAAAAAAAAAAAAAGAAAAGAAAAGTTAGAAATGTAGCTGGTAAAATCTTAATGTTAAAGAGATATACTGAGCATCACTGTTTTCCTACAAAACATTCAGAAAACATCAGGGACCATATATTGGGAACCCAACAATGAATTTGAAAGCACTCTCTTCTCAAGTCTAAAGGAGAAAAAAGATATGTACTTAATTAGAGAATAAAGTGGATAGATACGGGAATGCATATATAATCATGACACGAAATTGAGCACAAAATGTGAACTATAATGGTCAAGAGAGATTTGTGTTTTAAATAATAAATACTGGTGCGATCGCTAAGGCTCCTTCCCAATTTGGTTTCATCCATTAACAGAAAAACTACACCAAGAAGAAGAAACATATTTCCCCATCAGACCCTGCCAGAACAATGCTGTTTTTCCCTTTCTGCCTTTTCTCAGAATTGTTATTTACATTTGGCAGAAAGGGAAAAACAGCATTGTTCTGGCAGGGTCTGATGGGGAAATATGTTTCTTCTTCTTGGTGTAGTTTTTCTGTTAATGGATGAAACCAAATTGGGAAGGAGCCTTAGCGATCGCACCAGTATATATAATTCATATATATGATCTTAGTTTCTAAAATCCTGTGTTTGTTTTTATAGCAATTACAACATATGGATTTGAACTTTCCCATTTAATTCAGTCCTAGAGAGTGTCTTTTTACTAGTGTGTATGTGGAAAAGGATATGTGTATATGTATGTGGGTGGGTGTGTGTATTTCAGGGAGAGAGAGATGTAAGTGTAGAGTAGTAGTAAACTGGTAGAAACACAAAAGAAATATTAAAGTAGCTATTGCATTCATGTACAGTGTTTTCCCCTAAGAGTTAGCTATACTGAAATTAGAGAACTTTTTAACAGCAAACATAATTTTTTGATTGACAAATGTTTATTTACACTTTTGTAAGTTGAAAGGACAGAAGAATCAAGTGAAACAAAAAGAAGAAACGCAGATTAATGAACCAAAAAGAAATTTGTGTGTGTGTATGTTATGAGTTTTAAAAAAGTTACTGTTTTTATGGTTTTTTTTGGTGTTTAGGCTAGACAGCAACAAGCAGAATTGGCTCAACAGGAATGGCTTCAAATGCAGCAAGCTGCCCAACAAGCACAGCTTGCTGCTGCATCAGCCAGTGCATCCAACCAGACAGGATCTTCTCAGGATGAAGAAGATGATGATGATATCTGAAATTCACCAGCTGAGTTCCTATTTCCTCTATAAATGTTTTCCCCTGCACAAGAAAACAGTGAAAGAAATGCTTATCTGTAATTTCGTATGCATCTTGATGGACTTGCCATTGGTATTCTAGGGATGTCTGCTGTTAAGTTTCACCTGTTGTGTGCTATTAATATAAAAACTGTCTCTTTGAACTATTGAACATTTAAGGTTCAGTATAATATCAATTTTGAATTTTTAATGGCGTTTATGAAATTTTAGATAGCAGTGAGTCCTTTATTTGATCAATAAACAGTGTTACAGAAAACTTCCAAGTTTATAAAAATACAGTGAAATTTATACAGAAACTCGAAATCTGCATTGCATTTCCTCTGCCCTTTTAACTAAACTAAAAATTGGGGATTTTAAATTATTGGGAGGGCGTGCTGTGTAATGCAGTAGACATTAGCTCAGGTTGGTGAAAAAACAGAATTCAGTTCTGTAGTATATGAATTTTTTGTCTTTTAAAATGAGTGTATATACAAACAATACACATATATGCTCAAAAAATAAAACTCTTTAGGAAAATCTCAAAATAAGACATTCAAAAACTAGAGTGGAATATCTTCAACCTTATTAGTTGTATGAATTTGGTGGGCTATGTTTTTGACTTTGTTTTATGTAGAGGTAAAAGCTTTAGTTTTATTATGACATAATTCATCTTGAGCTACCTTATTATATTTCAAAGACTGCCCAATTTTGAGGACTGTTATGATTCTTACTATTTCACTCCAATCCAATAATTGTTAATAGTATTACTTGCTTATTAGTCCATCCATGTTTATTGGAATCTGTGAAACAATTACTTAGGTTCCATGGGTTTAACTGAGGTTCATAAATATTCAGACCTTTACTGGGGGAAAGAAATTAAATTCAATGAGCATGCTTGCTATAAAAGAGGGATTTTTTGTAATTTAACTTGTAGTTATAGCCTACTTATTGTTTGTTTTTAGCATTATTTTTACATTTTCTTGACTAGATGACCCAGAGGTCTAATGCATCCTTTTGAAAAGGCATCATTTGTCTCCATCATAATTGAGTGATAGCTTTAAAAATCTGGGGTTTTTTTGTTTAAGAAAGTGTCTCATAATTGATTGACCCTTTATGAAAGATACTTATCAACCAGCTCCTTGAAAGGGAGAAACTTTATTTTGGTTCCCGTAAGTAAAGTATGACAATGATTTTTATAGGAGTCTAGTGTATTGAACACATGGCATATTGATGTATTTTGGAAACAATGGAAAAAGCCACTTAAGATAGTATAAAGTAATCTAAATTTCTATGTCAGTTGCCAAATCATTTAAATTTCTATATTCACCAAACACACAGATAGATGGCAGCTGCCAGTATTCCTATTTTAGTTGGAGAGAGCTGAACAAGGTTTACAAGTATTAGATTTCTTACTGTTATTTTTCCAGTTTTAGAAAAAATGAAATATTGTCATGCAGTTAAGTAAATACACTTCCCAATGCCATGAAAAGATTAATCTTGCTGAACATTTATTTAAGTTACAGTGTTTTAAGTTGAAGTTGATACTGTATCCATGCAGTGACAAGGAGAAAGGATTGTTGGGTTTTTCCCCCCCCCCTAAAGTTTAAGTACCAAAGGTAGTCTAGTCTAAGAGATAAGTGTTGGCTTTTCTGATTTGTGTTGTAACATCCTTATACTTTTTCTGTTTTAAGTATATCTGTTTCTTAAGTAAATAATTTGGATTATTTTTCCACACTTTTTTTCCTGATGCAGAGTCCAGGTTAATTAATATTTTACTGCATCTGATAATGTATTATATGTGTGAAGCATAGTGACTTTTCATTTGGACATTCTCATGATTTCATATGCTGTATTCTTCAAGCAATAAAATTCTGATGTGTTTTATAAATTGTTTTTATATTTAATAATCTGTACATTTTAATGGCAACAAATTTCTCCTATTACCATTTTTATTATTTTCAAGAATTTCAGGCCCAGAGGCATTTTGATCATTTGGTATACAGAACCTTATTTCCTCCTTTGCTTACTGTTATTTCAGAAAATGTGGTTTTACTTGTATTTTTGTAATTTAAAGTCCTAAGAATCAGAAAAAAAACAAAGCTAGTTTAGCAATGCTTACTTTTAGCTTCTTTTTTAGCATTTTAAAGTCTCCTATTCTGTCCATTGTTGAGGTTTTAAAAATCTTTTGGAGAAAGAAAATCTTTAGGGTTCTTGAGAAATAAAGTTAATGTTTAGTATTTTCCTCACCTCCTTGAACATACTTCTTTTTTAGCAGAAGATCAGACTCATAAGTGTTGGAAAGGGTCCAGTTTTTAAAACTGCATATACCATACATAGAGTACACAAACATGGACTTTCACAAATTAAACATACTTATATCACCAGCACTACAGCATTATGAGCACCCTGGAAACCTTCCTCTTGCACCTCTCTTAACACTATCTTCTTTTTCCTCCCAGAAGTCACTATTATTCTGACTTCTAAAACCATAGGTTAATTTTATTTTATATCTTTTTTTCCTCATCATTTATTATATTTTTAATGTGTTTATTTCCTGTTCATACAGTAACAAATCACGCAAATTTAAGGACTTTAAACAATGTAGACTCTTGCAGCACTCTAGTTCAGAAGTCCAAAAAGTTTGATTAAGCCAAAGTCAAGGTGTCAGTGGGTTGGTTCCTGAATTGGAGGTTGTGAGTGGAGAGTCTGTTTTCTTGCTGTCTTTAGCTTCCTCTGGCTGTCTATTTTTCCTAGATGATAGCCCCTTCTAACATGTTCATAGCCTCTGCTTTCATTCTCACATCATCTTCTCTTCTTCTACAGTCAGATCTACTGCTGCTGCTACATTTAGGGCCCAGTTGGATAAGCCAGGACAATCTTTGCGTTTCAAAATCCTTAGTTCAGTCACATTTGCAAAGTCTCTCTTGCCATACAAAGTAACATTCACAGGTTCCAGGGATTAAGTCTTGGATATCTTTGGAGGCCAGGGTGACATTCATGTCAGCACATCTATTTCATTCATTCTCATTCTCATGCACATATCAGTGCATGTAGTTCATTCTCATTACTGGATAGTATTCCATTAACTTATAGTTTTTATTATATCCAAAGTATATTTGTTCTACCATTGGTGGACATTTGAGGAATTTCTAGCTTGAATATATTATGAATCGTGCTGTGGAAACCATTCTCATGCATGTCTTTTGGTGAGCGTACAAGTGCATTTCTCTTGAATATATGAGTGGAGTTACTGAATCTTGAAATGTGCATGTATTCAAGTTTAGTATGTAGTGTCAGTTTTCCAAAGTGTTTGTAAAAAGGCACCATTTTAATATGTACCATAATAATGAATTACCCTAATGGTCTATTGACCTGAGAATGTTAATAAATTTCACAAAATACCTAAATTATATCAAGTAAATTCTACTGGTTACAGTGCTACTTAATATCATATGAAAGGAATGGAAAAGTGGAAAAGCAAAGTATTTTTTTGTGTGTGTCACAGACAAGTAGTATACACTCATTAGATTATTGCTCCTCAGAAGAAATGCAAGTTTTGGGTAATCACAAATAGTATACTGAATTTATAAATAGTATATTCAGTTGTGGAAAATTCACTATTTAAATTTTGTATTAAAATTAATTTTGCTATAATCTTATTTTGATATGTGGATATTTCCTTACATCAAAATGGCCACTAGGAAGAATTATCCAAACCAGATAGTATAGGCACCAACCTCTCTTGGATTTCTTTTTGTTTCCTTCTCTGTCACTAATAAGAGAGCATAAGTCCCGGGGGCATCCCTGGTGGCGCCAGCCACTGCAGCATGAGTTGAATCCCTGGCTAGGGAGCTAACCCACATGGCACAGCAGACCTCACCTGTCCTGCCCACTGCTCCCTCAGCAGTGTGTTTCAGTAGATCTGCCTGTTCTGCTCCCCACTCTGACTCTAGTGAATCCTCTCCCTTCTCCCCTCCCATCTTTGGCCTACAGCCCAGTTCTTATATGCATATAAATAAATGTTTAAAAAAAAGCAGCATAAGTCCAATCACACCCTTCTGTCTTTCACCTTTCCCCATGCCGAAGACTATCAATGGTAGGATGAAGACCATGGCAGCATAAGTAACTTCCTCCCTACTGCCACTTGTCATCAAAGTGTCATCACTGACACTCTTTCCTCAAAATAAAAGCCCTGTCCTTAGTGTACATGTTTAGATTTCCCCTTTCTTACAAAAGATAGAAACACTACCTTGGAACATTTAGGTTTTTACTTTTAGAATAGGATACCAGGGGAAACACTGAAATTGATCCTTTGTTGGAAGCCACAGGTGACATCACAATAGTAAGAGACAAAAAGATGATTTAAAAGAAAATTGGGTGTCTCCCTGGTGGTGCAAGGGGTTAAGACGCAACCTATGAAGCTATCCGCAGCCACTGCAGCATGAGTTCAATTACCGGCCAGGGAGCTACCCACATGGTGCAGCAGACCTCTCCTGACTCGCCCGCTGCGCCCCTCAGCAGTGCATTTCAGTCAGTCTACCTGTTCTGTTTCCCACTTTGTCCCTGGTGAATCCTCACACCACCACCACCTCCACACTCCTCTGGCGTGTACCCCAGCTCTTGTATACATAAATAAATAAATCTTTAAAAAAATAAAGTACTCTGTTCTTTTTAAAAAAAATAAAATTGGCCCAGGGTTAAAATATGTTTCTAGGAACATCAAATTTTTTTTTTTAATTTATTTATGCATATAAGAACTGGGGTACAGGCCAGAGGTTTGGGAGGTGAGAACATACACCAGAGACAGAGTGGGGGACAGAACAGGTGGATTGATTGAGATACACTGCTGAAGGGTGCAGCAGGCAATATAGGAGAGGTCTGCTGCGCCATGTGGGTATCTCCCTGGCTGGCCGGGATCAAACTCATGCTGCAGTGGCTGTGGATAGCTTCATAGTCCTGTGTCTTAACCCCTTGCTATGTGGATAGCTTCATAGTCCTGTGTCTTAACCCTTGAGGCCCTGGGAACATCAAATTTTAAAGGTGATGCTTGACTTCACCTCTGCTGATCCCTTTACCTCTCAAGGGCCCTGTCAAGTTCTTAAAAATCTACTTGCTCACAGCTTTTCACCCAAAGATCTTCACACACAGTTTAAGACACATTAAATATATTGTCTCATTACTATGTACATCTTTTAACAAGCATACTATTGTAAAATGTTTTATTGTGGTTACATATACATGTAAAATATCATTTTAACCATTTTTAAGTATTTGGGTGTATTAGTACATTGATGTTGTGTAACCACCACCACTATCTCCAAAACTTTTTCATTCCTAATTGCAGCACTGTACCCATTAAACAATAATTACCCATTCTTCTTTCCACTTAATCGCCGGTTAACCACTATTCTATTTCCTATGAATTTAATTGCACCTCATAAGTGGAATCTTACAATGCTTTTCCTTTTGTGTGTCTGGCTTATTTTACTTAGAAAAATGCTTTCAAGGTTCATTCATACAGTAGCATGTATCAGAATCTTGTTTCTTTTAAGAGGGAGTAATATTCCATGGTATGTATTTGCGACATTTTGTCTGTCAGTTCATTTGTTGGTGAATGGGTTGCTTCTACCTTTTGGCTATTGTGAGTAAGGTTATTATGAATGTGGGTATACAAATATTTATTTGGTCTCTAGCAAGCATATTTTTTTCAGTGTACAGAACCTATATTGAGAACTTAAAGAAGGAAAGCAAAAGAGTATGAATGCACCTATAAAGACAAATTATAATATAAATGCGACATGAACAAAGGGAACCGATATTTTGTTCTAGACTTTTACATATGTTGTTTTCTCATGAGAATGAGAATTTTTACCTCTGTGAGGTGGGTAGGTATTTAAGGATGGTAGACTGATAACATAGGTATATCATTACTTATGAAATGTCCTATCTTAAAGCATAATGTAGTCCATGGTCATTTTCTTTCAATTTCATTAAAATGGAGCAAGTGGGGCAGGGGGAGGGAGCAAAGAGGACCAGATTGGTGAGTTCTTACCTGTGAACTTAAGAATGCATGACACACAAAGATAAATAAAAAGGGTTTATTCACATAGAAACAGGAGAACTGAAACAAAAAATATAGGGTAGCCCATCACCAGATGTAGTCTGACCTGTCTACAAGTGGCATCAGCTGAGCAGACATCAGGGTACACTTAGAAGTCAGCCAAAATGAGAGAAAGCATGCATGTGTTCCATGTTAAGGTAAGCGTGGTGGCTTAGCTCTGCCCCTAGCTTCCAGCATTCTATGTAACACGGAAGGCAGATGGGCTCTGGGGAAGATAAGGGGGGGCTCCTCTCCAGCTTGAACTTGCACCCAGGGGCTTGAGGGAACTTGGAAGAGATGTGTGGAGGAGATACATGAAAACACACTTGAAAGAGACACCTGGGTGAGGGAGACATGGGAAGGCTGTCCTGGGCAGACAGTGGCACCTGGTATCTTGATTTGTACTTTTATTTTGAGCTTTTGTCTCACACTTGCCTAAAACCTTTCTTGTTTCCCACCAGAAGGTGCCTTCGACTTGTGGCCAGCTTTTAGTCCTCAGCTGCCCTGCTTTGGGCTGAACTTGTTTGGCTGGGCATTTGCCCATGAGGGGATGGGTAACTTGGGGTATCTGCTATTCTCTTCCTTCTTAGTGCAGACTAATCCTGTTAAAGATCTCTCACACCAAGAATCTACTTTGTCTTTATGTGGCAGATGACAGGACCTTGTTTTAGAGCATATATCCCTTAAGTCTGGATTCCGTAGGTGCTCCTTGGTTGCACAATAATAGATGGCACTTGTTTTGTCACTGACAAGGAATTTTATAGTGGAACTGGAAGATTTGCCAGAATAAACTTTTAGTGTGATTGAGGGAGTTGTGTGGTTGGGGTGGGGTGGGGGGGAGTGGAGGACGGATGCCTGAACAAACTCCACAAACTCAGGTTTTATGGACTCCACCCACACTCCAGACCAAAGCGATCCAAGACACCAAAAACTACAAATCCCATAATGTCATCATCACCAAAGGGAGGACTGCTGGGAACTGAGGGTGGAGTTAAGAAGCCAGGTTTGGCATATAACCAGCCAGGTGGGCCTTGGAGGTCCTTGTTTTTTGCCGGCTCTCAGCCTGCTGTTGGGATTCCAGCTCAGCGGAACTGGTAGGACACATTCAGGGATTTACCTCTCTCTCTCTCTCTCTTTGTCTGTCTCTCTCTGAATTCATTTCTTCATTTCCCCTTCTTTTGTAAATAAACCCTTTATTAAACTTTTTTGTGTGTGCCTGCAGTTGAGGACCTACAGTCAGGCAACCCATTGCATATTGGGGTAGCCCTGTAACAGTTTTGAGAATTGGGGGTGGAGGGAGAGATAGTATCAGGAAGAATATGACTGGCAAAGGAAAAAGAAACTATCCCTGCTGTTAAAGCAGCTGTGATATGGTGAGTTATGGGAAATATATATATTTGATCATTTAGATGATCATAATAGATATATTTCTCATACATACTTGGTCTTCATTCAATTCCTCCTCACATCTTTCAAAAGCCTTGAAATTTCCTTGATGAGAGTTGATAAAGGTGTCTCTTGTTATGTTAATGAAGATAACTTTTGGGAAATACTTGAGGGTGGGGGTTGGTTGTCAGGGAAACCAGCCTGAACCGTCCCGCTTTGACTTCCTGGTTGGGAAGAGAGGAACTAGAGGTTCAATCCAGTCCTCACTAGTCAATGATTTAATCAATTGTGGTTTATGTAGTGAAACCTCCATAAAAACCAAGAGAGGGGGTGGGTTGGAGAGCTTTTTGGTTAGTGATCAAGTAAAGATTTGGCAGAGAATGGTGTAACTGGAGCTCTCCAGCTCCGTGCCTTTTCCCCATACCTTGAAGGGAAGCTCTGTGCCTTTTCCCCATACCTTGAATTTCTGCCATCTGGCTTTTGAATTATATACTGTGTATAGGGCATTGATCTAGTGAGTAAAGAGGTGTCCTGAGTTATGTATGGCCTTCTAACAAATTCATTGAACCTGTGGAGGATGTCCTGCAAACTTCTGATTCTAGCCAGTTGGTCAGAAGCACAAGTAATAATTTGGGCTTGCAACAGGCGCCTGTCTGAGGGAACCTCTAGTCTGCAGTGGGTGTGTTAAGAAGCACAAGTGGCAGCTGCCTGGACTGGTGGTCTTCATTTGAGATGGAGGGTCCAGGGGACTCAGTTCTTAATCTGTGGAATGTGATGCGCTTTCTGTGTAGAAGTGTGAGAATTGTGTTGAATTCTTGAATTCAAGCCTAGCTGTATCCCTACTGCAATTGAGCTGCAAGACATTAATACAGCAGCTAAAGATTCTCTGAGTACTACCTAGTGTAAAAGGGGACAGTACACAGTATTGCAGAGTAAATATAGTAGTTTCAAATTGTCTGTACCTTTAAGAAGTTTGTTACCTTTATTATGCCTATGAAAGTTTGTTTCCTTTATTGTGCCTTCATATTTGTTTATATCATTAATGAACTTCTAGGATTGGTGAGTAGGGTGTAGTAGTAT